TTTTTTAATGGAATTTTGTTTAAATGGCTGAAATAAGGTCTAAATTAGCTTAAAAAAAAGCGTAGGATCAGGATTTCTGTATTAATTAATTTAATTATTTTAAGTATATTTCCACCAGTATAATCACAGAAAATAAGCTGTCCTTTTTTTTGCAACCTTAAATTTTACAATTTTTGCAAAGAAAGCCAAAGATCCTTGGACAAAAAGATCCTTGGAATGGCATGTGTGAAACAGGCCTGCATGTTGTTTATGGAAATTTCAATGACTGAGTGGTTAGATAACAACCTATTTATTTTTCCATTGAAAGTATTATGAATATTATGGTAAGTTGTTGGCATAAAGTCTACTAATAAAGAATTGCATGTGACAGGCATATGAGACAAAGGTTCTTTTTTTAAGAACAAAAAAATACAAAGTTCAAACACTGTTTAGTTCAGAGGTATTATCAGCATAGCTAATATAAACCTTCTTAATCTGAAAATATTTCAAACACGCACACTAAAATGAAAGTTTAAGAAAGCAGATACCATCCACCTTATCTGTGCACCTATATTGCATTTCATAAACACTGGAAAATTCAGAAGTAATTACATTTATTTCCACTCATGCCAAAAGCACAACATAAGCTATAATATTGCTTTAGCATGCTATCTGCTTGTACATCATACATCTTTTCAATAATGTATATATCAAAGGCAGAAATGAAGGATGAATTTGTTTTAGTCTAATTTAATCTATTAATTTAGTCTATTAAACATAAGTATACTGAAAGCCAGTGAAAGTTTACCACAAAAGGTCATAATGTCACCAATCAACAACTGTTAAAGGCAAATTCAAGACCTTTGGACACCATTTTTTAAAACTTAATTTTTGTTGTTGTTTATAATTAGATTAAAACTCATTATACGCGTCTCTTTGTTCTTTGAGCTTTACTGGAATGTACATTTTTGAACTCCCCTCTGGGGCTAAGAAAAATAGATCAGAACCAGACAGAAATATCTAAACAAGATCAGAACTTATTATATCATAATCTTAGAAAGTACACAGAGTTTAGACAGGTTCAGGACACTAATATTTCAGTATGATAGGAACGCAGACATAAACACCCATGAGACTCATTTTCCCATTTTTCATATTTTGTGTTACCATAAATAACCGAGACGTTTTTGTTGTGTCCTAAAATTGTGTTCTCAAATCCAATACACTTTTCTAACATAAAGTTGCAAATTACCAAAATTAATCAGTTCTTTTGACAGTTTTTTTGGGTTTTTTTTTTTTATGGGTTTTGAGCATTTGATTGCTTTAGGGCTTTTATTTCTGATTTAAAACACTGGACAAACAATAATTTGTTCAAACCAGTTGTGACAAACAAACCTGATATGAAAATAAATAGTTAGGAAACTAGCAAAAAACTAAAATAGCTATTTAAAAGTTAAATTAGCATAATTTGTCCCATTGTCTTGTCTGATTTTCATCTTTCGCTCAAAATTTCATTTACAGTTATTTATAAAAGGTCAGTTTGAAAGAGACATTTATTAAAAAAATGTCCCTTTATCTTACCAGAATAATTCATTGTACTATAACCATGTTGGAACTTTCAGGAGAAATGAACTCAATTAAAAATTTCTCTGATAGTTTCAGTCTGACCTTCAGAATTTGTGTGGCTCATTACAGCATCCATTATTTTATAAATCTGCTTATGAATGATGGTGCAGTTAATAACTTGAACTCAACAGAAAAGTATAAAGCGACAAGAAACTGTAAGAGAGAGAGTGGAAAACTACTAAACTAATTGTATGAGCAGACCTCGGGGGAAATTGAAATAATAAAAAAACGTTGATATGACCCCTTTGAAGTGCCTTTCATGTGAAGTGAGCTTCTCCAGATATGTTCACAGTCAGTCCAAATCTGATTATTTTTGTATACAATTGTAATCTGATCTAAAATTAGTGACTGTCTGCAATGTGTCTCACAACTGTCCAGTCCTGTCCAACCCGGTCTCATCCCAAGACGTCAGTTATATGACTTTTACTGTGTTATCCTGTCAGGACCACTATCGTCAAATACGATTGACAATTATGGCGCTTTTCCACTACACAGTAACAGCTCGACTCGACTCGGCTCGGCTCACCTTTGTTTGGTTTTCCACCGTGTAAAAGTTATACCTCTACCTGTTTTCGGGTACTTTTTTGTATCACCTCCAGCGAGGTTCTGAGCGTGCTAACCTAAGGCGAGCTGAGCCGGTACTAAAATGTGAAGTGAAAACAATGTCGACTGCTGATTGGTCAGACAGAATCGTCACCATTCACTGTGTCATCATTGCACGCGGCAGATGGAGTACCCAGAATACTATTTGTGGCGGTACTTTCTGCAATGGAAAACGGAGCGAAAAGCGAGTCGAGCTGGTACTGGTAATGGAAAAGCGCCATTAGCATACAGTTTGGATTGGCGGTATCAGTTCCGTTCTGGGCGAGAACTCCCTGCGCATTTGGTCAAATATGGACAAACCCAGCCATTAGGTTAAATTTTTTTGACTACATTTTTAACCCAACGTTTGAGTTTGTCAATATTTGTCCCAAAGTTGTGTTAAAACAACCCAGCATTTTTAGAACGTAATAGGATTTCAAACCACACTGCATTTCAGGTAAATGCAGATACACATTAGCAGGTATAAAATGTCCCATCATTGCTTAAGGGGCATAATGATGGATGTTTTCAAGTGGTCATATGAACAGAAAGATTTACAACCCTTAAGTGATGAGATGAACAGAGCATTTGAGTGCAGTATGGGGTGCAGTGAGTGCAGCGTTTCTCTCATATGGACGTGAAGGCTGGACTGTGCTTTTGCCACAAAGTGATCCGCAAAGGTCAAGATATCTTGGACAACTCCCAGGCATTTAACACTCCAGGGGCAACAACTGCATGACCTTCAACAGTAATAGACAGAGAGCATGTGGGCAAGCCACAACCTGGAGGAAGAGAATGTCAAGGATGAGTTCGGGGAGATGAATAGGATTCTGAATGAAAATGTCAGGAGTGACAGGTTCCCTGTATTGTGAAACTGATGTGGAAAGTTTTCAGTGCAAAAATACTGGAGGTTTTGTTCACCTATTTATCACAACCACATGTCACAGCCCTCTATTAGAAAATATATATGTATTTAAACCGTATCTTTCTCATTAATTCAATATTTGTATGATTATATTAATTTAATAATTATTGTAATATCCATCACATTTTGTTTACTGCTGCAAAAAAAAATGGATAAACTACAAAAAAAGCCATATGCGCAGCTACAAAGGAGAATTTTGTGACATTTCAATGCTTCATTTGATCATATGATATGATGCGAGCAAATATTAATATTTATTTGTTTGCATCGAAGCTGCGGTTGCAATACAGTGTGGCTGAAAATAGCATTTTATCAGCTAAATCTCTACTTCTTGGAAAAGCAGGATTATTGGAAAAGGTGTTGAGAACAGCTGAGCTGAGCTGACTGCTGTTGCGCCACTGTCATTTATGTTTGTGCCAACTGTGTGTCATTTACGTTTCTTTGGAGTCAGCTTTGACATCTGTTTATTATACTGTTCGATTATAATCATCAAACAGGGCGAGGCATCAAACAGTCATGGTGCTCCTACAAATGTTTTGTGCTAATAATAATTTATTCACGTTTGCCCCAAGCTGAGACCTATTATTAATATCAGGGTTATGATGGTACTACTGTAAGTAGATGGAAGAGTTTCCATGGAAATCTTACCGGATGAAGAATACGTCCAGCAAAACCAGCATGAACACTATAGCTAGATGTATTTGTTCAAGAAAATTAGTCTCTCAGTTGGGCATAGCCTGCTGGCATTTAGAGAAAGATCACTAGATCACAAGAGGAAAATGATTGTTGTGTGTATAAGTGTAGACTAGAACAACCCGGTCTCATCCCAAGACGTCATATAACTGACGTTTTGGGACGTCTTTTGACCATACGTCAATATTCGCCTTTTTAGGGCCCCCTTAAACGTCGGTAGATGAGGTTATGGATCCTAACTCTACCCCATACCTAAACCTAACCCTAAACCTAACCCGTCACCTAACTGACGTTAAAGGTAAAGCGTCAGTTGTATGACGGCCCGGGATCGCCATCTACCGACGTTTAAGGGGGCCCTAAAAAGGCGGATATTGACGTATGGTCAAAATACGCCCCAAGACGTCCGTTATATGACTTTTTGGGATGAGACTGTGTTAACTAGAACAACAAATGTACAGGAAATTTCATAAGACATTCCAAAAAACCAAATAAACAAAAGCAGTATACTGGACATAGTCTATATTTCTATAGAACCACACCTTTATGCCATTATTATAGAATAAGAAATATAGTATGTTCAGTAAACACTAGGGTTGGGTATCGTTTGAATTTGAACGATTCTGATTCCGATTGCGATTCCTTGTTTCGATTCCGGTTCCTAACGATTCTCGATTCTCGATCCCGATTCTTTTAAGAGGCAGGGTCAAAAAAGTTTAGCTAACCTTGCTAACCAACGGCCTTTCTGAAGGAAATAATCCTTTCTGAAGGAAATACTCCTTCTGTAAAAATACTCCTTTTGTCACAAATTTTGCATTTTGCCAAGATTTCGTTATTTTTAGAAAAGTGAAGCCACACTTTGGATCGCCGACGTAAGGTACTCATGTTCGACTCGCGTGGTTATGCCAACACTTCTGGTAGACGCTTCTTCATTGGTGTTGTTCAGCGGTTTCTTCTTCCGCTCAGCGGACTGTGAATATCGAAACTAGGAATCGAAATTTTAACTTTTGAACGATTCCGGGAAAAACGAAAAGTTAGTCTCGGTTCCAATCGATACTCGATTCTCGAATACCCAACCCTAGTAAACACACATGACTATTTAATAGCAGTTTTCCAATGTGACAATATGCCCTTCTATGAGAGTTGGGGAAAGTTATACATTATAATGGTCCTTGAAAACATCACAATCATAGGCCTATTTATTAAATTTGCCATTTTTTATTTGAACAGCATTTTATCTTCGGTACATTTCTCTTAATGTTGGCAGCATGCTCAGTGGTGAACAAAACTTAAAAAGAGGCTTAGTGATTGAAGTACTTCTTTATGTACCATCCTGCATAAAGTCCTCTTGTGGAATGGAAACATGACCATATTAGCCCATCTGGATACATTTAGAAAAATATAAGTTATAATTAAATATAACTATTTTAGATATAAATTATATCTAAGAAATTATGGTGAAATGGGTGAAACTTCAGTGCAAAAGAGACACATAACTCAGATTTAATTTTTCATCGTGTTCAGGATGAACACAGGAATAGCCGTGTTGTTATATTTAGAAAACTATCGCTGCCATGATACTGATGAGATGTTTGAATAAATGTTAATAAAAGTATTTTTATTTGATATAAATAGAGAGATAAATAAATTAAATGGTATTTTGCAGTCTCTACATTTGGCACTTGCAGATCGTCAGGGCGTCGTGTTCATTGTTGTTTTCTCTCTTGCAGCTGTGAAAGAATACATGAAACTGAGTGTCATTGATTAGATGGTGAGAAATAACTCAAACCTGCCTCCCCAGCTAACAGGGAACGTTCTCAGGACTTTGGCTAATGTTCTGGCAAGGTTCACTCAATGCTATTAACAAACAATTTTATATTAAAGGGGTCATTGGATGCCCATTTTCCACAAGTTGGTATGATTTTTTTAGGATCTTCATGTAAAGTTTGTAACATACTTTGGTTAAATTTCCTCAATGGTTTAAAACAACACCCTTTTTACCTCCTCAAAAATAGCTCTGTTCACCGAACCGTTTCGGTGCATGTCTCTTTAAATGATAATGAGTCAGTGGTCATGGGCGGAGCATGAGTAATATGACTCAGTAATATCATATTGCTCAGGAAATCCAAACGGCTTGTTTTGGCTTCAATATCTCAAAAAGATGAATCTTTGCGGTAGCGTAAGCGAACTTACGCAATACGAGAGAACCTCTCATAAGAGAACCTTAATTTGGCTAACATTACTTTATAATGTTATGCATATATTAGGCTTAAAGGGTTAGTTCACCCAAAAATGAAAATTATCCCATAATTTACTCACCCTCAAACCATCCTAGGTGTATACTATGATTTTATTCTTTCAGTCGAACAGAGTTATATTAAAAACATATCTTGGCTCTTCCAGGCTTTATAATGAGAGTAAATGGTACCTTGTTTTCTGAAGCCCAAAAAAGTGCATCCATCCATTATAAAAGTAATCCATGCGGTACCAGGGGATTAATAAAGTCCTTCTGAAGTGAAGTGATGTGTTTTTGTAAGTAAAATATCCATCATTATAACTTAATAAACTGTAATCACTAGCTTCCGGTAACGGCTGTGCGCAAGTCGAGTTCCTGCGGAAGACTGAATGTACGCATGACCAAGGATTTAGTTTTAGCATAAGCTTAGACGCCCCTAGTGGTTCAAACAAACAGGGCTGAGCAACAAACTCAAGCTCCTCCAACATTTCTATAAAAAAATTCTCGATTTAGACTATACAATTCAATACATTATCCATTAGGTCAGAGTTCACTCTTCCACCAGATCTCAACTCGCATATGGAAGCGAGTGATTCTAGTTTATAAAGTTTATGAAGCTTCATTTCAGAAGACCTTTATTTACCCACCGGAGTCGTATGAATTACTTTTATGATGGATGGATGCACTTTTTTAGGCTTCAAAATCTCAGTTACTATTCACTCCCATTATAAAGCTTGGAAGAGCCAGCATATTTTTTTCTAAATTACTCAAATTGTTTTTCAGTTGAGAGAAGTCCTATACACCTAGGATGGCTTGAAGGAGAGTTAATTATGTGATATGTCTCATTTAAACAAGAAAATGAAGACTGCAACAGTATTACAATATGAATGCTGAAGTCCTCTGAGGTGATTTGTATTGCAATTGATAAATGAGATGCAAGATAACGTTTGTTTGAATCAAAAGAGAGTGAGTACACAGTGTAATACGAGAGACACACAAGCAACACAGATTTCAGTGAGAGCAATATGAGACTGCAAGAGCACACTGAAATACCAGACGGCAGGATGGCCAGACTGACCAATCAGAATCAACTATTACAGCAACGTAAATAAAAACGATAAAAGTGACATCCAAAAATACTCAGAGAAACTGTAAATCTAGCAATGTAATTTTCATTCAAACATTACAAATTGGTTATATTATCCAATAGTGTGAGACAAATTAAATGTATAGTTTTGAAAATCATTCTACCTTTAGAAGATTTGTTGAATTGTGTCACGTATAGTGTAATTTGTCTGTCCATACTTTTGGAATACATTCACATCGCTCTACATCAATCTCACAGTCCTCCTCACTGACGGAAGATGGCGGTTCTGGTAAAAAAAAAAAAAAGGTGTAAATAAAAATTGCAAAAATGTATAAATCATGTTGTTGTGTGTGCCTTGTTGGGTATATATTAAATTAAAGTCCCTGTGCTTTTGGCTAGAACAGGAATTGGCAATACGGGAGTTGAAATCAATTACTCACTGACCTTGTTTGCTGGAGGGGTACGTCACACATCGCTCTGCCATCCAATCCCATATTAAACCTTTGTTGCATAGCCTCTTGTCTTCTGGCTTACGTGTAGGAGAGCAACTGCACACAAAAACATATTATTATTATTATGTGCCAGAAAGCACTCCTACATATGGCTGACACTCAGCAAGGCACAATCTGTAATTTCTCTTCGAGCAACACTGGTGTATCAACACACAGTGAATAAAAGTTGGTTCTAACATTTCAAAAGAGTTTGATGATACACTACAAGAAGTACCCAGCTAATTTAAATTAAAATATATTGCACTCTGGTACTGACCCGTTCTTCCTGTACTTCTCACGAACATGTCTGCGGATCAGCGCGTGTTCCTGGCACTTACACTCAGTGTGATTGGCTATTTTCACTAGCACAGGCTCTGGTCCAGATTTATAAGGCGCCAGACTCACACTCAATATCTGCGAGGAAGAGGATGTTTTTTACGAACCATTAAATGGAACAGTATGTGCACATAAAACACTTTAACACTTGTTAAAGGGATAGTTTAATCAAAAATGTAAATTCTGTCACTGGTTTCTCACCCTCAAGTCATTCCAAACCTGCATAAATTACTTCTGTGGAACACAAAAGGAGAAATTTTGAAGAATGATACCGGCCACTCTTTTCCATTAAATTATAATCGACAGCGACCAATGCTTTAAAATTCCAAAACGACATAAAAGTGGCTAAAATGAGGGTAAGTAAATGTTGACAGAATTCTTTTAATTTTGGGGCTGAACTGTCCCTTTAAGACTGTGTAATTTGCTATTCACACAGAACACGTTTTTGCATATCAGTGTGCTGCCTTTCCATTGTTTTTCTATGTACAAATGTGAGAGATGGATGTGTTTAACTGTTGCACTCGCATCTTTGCAGCGTCTCACACACGCAGCGTTCCCATTGTTTTTCAATGTAAACATGCTAGACGGACATGTTTGAGCTTTGCGCGTACATCTTTTGCAGCGTCCCTTGCTTTGTAAAAATGTGTCTCTAACTAAAGTTTCTACTCAAACAAAAAAAAAGTGTCTCTAGACGTTATGTTGTTGGGTTTTTTTTTTTAATGCAAAAATGTTCTGTGTGAATGGATCCTAAGATTGCATATTGAGTATGCTCCATATTAAATTCTTAGCATAATGAATGAACTGCACATAATTTCCATATAATTATGCAAGTACAAACAGATTATATTCAAAATGAATTTTTATGTAATACCCACGCAATGCAATGAGTAGTGCTCACAGTTTTATTGACATAAGTCATGCTTGTATTACGGCAGGTAACTCCTTCTTTGTTGCAGCAGCCGCCACACCTGAAGACAGAGACGCACGGGGGCTTGAAAAACACTGCGGTATTGGTGCCCAATTCCTTAGCCACGTCTATACACGTCTCTCTGGGCATGCACTGTGTTTTCTGCCATTCCTCATCAATATCTGGAAAAACAAAACAAAAACCAATACAAATAAAAATACTTCTTGTACATTTGCCACCACATTGCTAATCACAAATCTGTGCACTGAATGTCCCTTAAATTCCTCAAATTAAATGATAAAAAAAACTCGGCTCTGCTGCCTCAGTCAAAAGGATGGACCAGTCCTTTTATATCGATGGAGTTCATGTTAAGCCTTCGTCATTGATTCACCTTGGTGTCTTATTCGACTTAACTCAATCTTTTGGCCCTCATATTTTTTCTCGTCAAAAACTCTTTCTGTCATCTTCGCAATGTTGCTTCAATATTCAATTTAGCTGACGCTGAAACCTTAATTCATGCACAAATCACATCACGGCTTAATTATTGCAGTGCTTTATTTTTTGGTCTGCCAAAAATCACATTACTCCTCTGCTTCATGACCTTCACACTGGCTACCCATGGCATCACATACTGTATCCACTTTAAGGTTTTGCCCTGCACGGTCTCTCAGATCAGATTGTCCATCCCCCATTTCCGGTTGTCGACAGGTTAGTTAAAGCTTTATTTGCCATTTGTACCGGTACAGCTATACAGGTACATAGGAATTTTTGTAGCAGAGCTCGTTAAATCAAACATAAAAGATAAACATTAAAACAGCTAACAAGCTACACAGCACACACTACACACAATGGACTTTAAGAAATGGAAGGTGGAAGGTCATTTAGTGTCAGCTCCCAAATTATGGAATGGGCTCTATGCACGGCGGTATTTCCGGTGAAGGATTAAGGATGCTCGATGACTTCCGATCGTATAGAGTCCAATGCAATACAGAGAATTTATATTGAATTTTATAGTCCATGGTTAATAAAGAAACGTTAGTCACAAAAACAGATAAAACAGACACCCCTCGTTGTGTTTATGCTTCTTTTTAAAATTATATTAAATAAACATAACTATATATAAAATTACATCTAAACGTATGTACGTTTCGTTTCAAAGACGGGAGGACAGTAAATTTTGAAGACTCTGCCATAATCCCGTTTTCCTCGGTTCTCCTCCGCTTTAATCTACACAAACGGAAATGGACGAGCATCCTTGCGTCAAATGCGGAACTTATGCGTGCATATAGCCCATTCATTACCCCTTACACTTCGAAAAATCTCATCTGTGGCTAGATTCAAAACTCAGTTAAAAAACATATCTATTTGTGTTTCGTTTAATGCGACTTTATGAATCCTAATGTTTGTGTAAGTGAATAAATGTATTGGAAATTGGAAACGAAAAGGCGCTATATAAATAAAACTTGTTCTTAGACACCACATATTCTCAATTGTGTTTGCTTGAAGGTCTCAACCTTTTAGCATCTCTGGGCTGAACGATGCGGCCGCATAGCGAGTTGACCTGCGGTTCTCAGGTGGAGAGGTGTCGTCAAAGTGCTTCAGCTTGAGTCTGCATCTCCACAGCTTCCAGTCCGGGTATTCGGTCAACATCAGAAGCTCATCTAGACTCCCAGCTTCCCTCAGTTCTTGTTCCCACTTCTCCTGGTTTATGTCCTATGAGAGAAACACAATCTTGAATGATGAGATTGGGGCTGCTTATTTTTTGTACAGAGGCGAACAATTTAAGAATCAGCCAATTTTCTCAAAAATCAGCCATAGTATGGCAGAGCACAGCAGAAGTTAGATAAAGATTGGAAAAATGAGTGCTCTTATTCTACATAAATTAGGAACAGATTTATCCCCTTGCATCATACAAACTCCCTGCTGTCTGTGAGGTATGTGAAGTCCTGCCACGATTAAAAGGCCAAACAGTAGGATATAACCATCAACTCCATTCTGAGAAAGTTTTAAATGAGAACTCTGTCCACTAGAGGGCAGTATTGAAAATCAATGTTGAATTTCTCAGCATTTTCTGGCTGTGTAAAGAATCTGTATTACACTAGGGAAAGGATGCAGCTGTTCCTAACGTCATGACTTATATTCCAGGGTTGCTTCAGACCTTAAAAGGCGCCTTAGTTTTACAACTTCAATATAATCCACAGAGTGTACCCTCACAACTTGCTGAAAAGATCTATAAAATAATTTTACATGACTATGCAACCATCAGCATGGATGGCTGAATGAAATCATGAATCACTGGACAATCATTCCCAATTAGACTTTGCGAGGCTTACTGAATTTTAAGTTCTTTAGAACTTATCTATTTGTGTTCAATCTATGTATGTTGTCAGGCCATGAAGTTCAGATTTTCTGCTTTCAAACCAACGTCTTTAGCCAAACACACGGAACACCCTCTGGCAGAGGCCCACTCTAAACAACTGGAACATACACTCTATTAGCTCAGTATGGACCACCTGTTTAGAAGCTCAGTGAAGACACAGATCCCAGGGATTGGAGTTTGGGACTCCTGCCACCAAAATGAACAGAAGATCATGGCTGATTTGCAAAACATGGATTGAATAACTACTAAGTGCCTTGTGACAGCTGCGGAATAACCTTTACAAAGTCACCAGTGGTCACTTCCAATGACCAATGTCGATATTGATACTTAAAGTCAAGTAAATAATGGGCAAACCGTGATTTTAATGCCAATATTATATTAGCCTACACCACAGCTCTGTATGGATGTTTCTTACTGGTCAAATGTGGGGCTCGATCGGATATTTCCTACTATACTACGGGGCTGAATCTGATGGGTTGATGAAAGTTCTAAGGTGTGCAATTATTTTCAGGGAAACACGTGTCTAAAATAGTTTTGAAGCAGATAAACTTACAGTTTCGCTATTAGACTTACAGTGCTCGTTTTGTTTCTAGGACAATTGTTTTGTACACTGTGGTGGACTATTTGTTTTCTTAACAGAAGCGGAAAATTATATTCAAATAAGATTATAAAATAACTTCATAATTTTCAAATCAAATCAGTATTTAATTTCCACGCATTTATTTATTTTGTGAGTAGTCAAAGGGTGATAATGTACAGTGACCAGTAGCCAATCACAAATGATAGGCTATACGGAGCTTTAGGCCTCAATAAAACTGAATAACAAATGTGCAGAAATCATAAAAACAAATGATTTGATGAGTATTCATTGTATACAATATTAGCTTGAAACTCATTAAAAATTAAAAAATGTATATATATATATATATATATATATACTCAAACTCACCTAAAGTATTATTAGCAACACCTGTTCAATTTCTCATTAATGCAATTAATCAACCAATCACATGGCAGTAGCTTCAATGCATTTAGGGGTATGGGCCTGGTCAAGACAATCCCCAAACTGAATGTCAGAATAGGAAAGAAAGGTGATTTAAGCAATTATATGTATATATATATGAAGAGTTCAGATGCAAAAACCTTTAAGTGCCATTTGAAATCTTCTTCTAGAATGATAATTTTTATCAAGCTTGTATATTTTATATATATATATATATATATATATATATATATATATATATCGGACATGGTTACTTTTTTTGCCCAGCCTGATAAATACATCAGTCACCTATACCTATTACAAAACAGAAGAGCAAGTTTATGGAGCAGATTATGCCCATGTAAGGTTTGCTGGAGTGCATTTACACACACAAACCTACCACATCTCTATCAATACCACATGAGTTATTGAGAATATTGAGTTAAGCAGGCAAAAAACAGCACTGGCTTGGTTTTGATTGTTTACTACACACCGGGTGTGTCCCACAAAAAAAGTCTGAAAAAAAAAAAGGCAATAGAGGCCAAAGGACTTCCAAATCCCAATCATGCTTTTATGAGACGGGAAAGCCACAAAGCGGGCGGAAAGTAAAACAGCCGAGGCTGGGATGGAGAGGGTTGGCATGCGATATGGAAGTCATCATCAGAGAAGTCTCACATCCTGCTGTCGTGTAGTGACATTATCTTCTATGATCCCTTCAGTATGTTAGGGTGGAGACGTCTGCTTCCACTTACCCACGCAGACAATGCAACAACAAACAGAAAGAGCGAGAGAATGAGGAGGGGTTTGGAAGAAAGAATATGAGTTACAACTGTGAATTTTCACTGGACAAGCTTAATGAGGTATAAGAGGCCCCTAACAAGGAAGAAGAAACTAAACGGGTGAGAACAGTGAGAGTTTGAGCATATAAAGTACCCTATGATGCCTGAGGCTCCACTTGGATACTAGGCGTCATGCCACACACACATACTAACACTGACTCTTTATAGAGTATCTGTAAAAATGAATAGGATATTATGCTATTGCATCACTGCTTGGAACTCGTCACCCTTCTTATGTAACCTATCATTGATATACTCACAGACATAAACACACTGAAAAACAGATGAATGGCCTTAACAGCTTGTCTTTGGAAATTCATACTAGTAGCCATAGGGTTCCCCAGCGTGCTTCCAGGGGAACCATCAATCTTACCGCAAAAATTGCAATTCCAAACATTTTCATTGACTTCAGAATGATTCCCAAAGCAACATACAGGAAAATGATCAAATTTGCTATAAAGTCATCCGAAGGTCACAGCAGGAGGGTCCATCCGGCCCCCTCTGAGCTTGCAACAGGTCCCTGTTCAGTGAGTCAGCGCAAATTGACGTATTTTAAAGGAGCAGTTCACCCAAAAAATGAAAAAAGAAAAAAAAGTCAGTGAGATCCAATATTGTTTTAGACCCCTTTGACTTTCATTGAATGAATAAAAACATTATTTAGAATATATTATACAGAAGAATGAAATTCCTACAGGTTTGGGATGACATTGAGGTGAATATACTCCTAAAAATAAAGGTTCTTTATTACTGTAGCATTTATGGTTCCATTTAGAACCTTTAACATCTTTAAGCATCTTTTCATTAAACAATTTCCATTTTCATAACTGTTCTTAGAGCTAAGAAAAAAATGTATCTTTTAACAATATTGTTCACTGAAAATTTCTTTGGGGAACCAAAAGTGGTTCTTCTACGACATCGCAGCCAAAAAAACTAACGAAAAAAAAAAAAAAACCCTTTCGGGGCATTTGAGAATATAAATGATGACAAACCGGTTCACAACTAAATGTGGACATTATAACAATTATAAATGAAAACCATGTTAATTTAAACCTCAGCATCATTCAAATTTTACTGCGAACAAAAAGTGTCCTGTAGTTTTTGCTGCTCTTGGTATTCTAAATGTATGCTGAGATATGCTATACTCACTCTTTGGGGTCTGTAGGCGTCCACTGCTAGCATCAGTCTGACATAAAGGAGTAGCAACATGTGAAATCCAGTACATTTCTGTGTCTTCATCCTGCTACTTACTCTCCAGGGTAACGTCCAGCAATTAAGCAGCGAGGGGAGGCCAGTCTGCGTATACACTCACGCACACTCACAAATCACGCGGCAGGTTTCTCACAGGACCACACAGGCGTACCAAGAGAGACCTGTGAAATCGAGCTTTCCGGAGCCAAATGGGATCTCCTCTTAAAAAAAAAAAAAGAGGAGGAGGAGAAAGAGAAAGAGGCATCAATCAGTGCTGGTCTAGGACAGAACTTGGCTGAAGAAAAACTTCTCAGTCTTTCCCTTCTGTTTGTATGTTTCTTCCTGATCAGGACGACCCCTTGGTGTTGTCATCCGTCTTGGACCGGCCAAATTTGGCCCAGTGTCTCCACAGACCCAGATGTGTCACACAATATTTGTGTTTGGAAAATCTGCCACGGGCTCACATCTAGTATTCTCCAGCCGCCAGTGCGTGCAAGGCCATCTGGGAGGCGTGCATGTCTGTCCCTTCGATGTGCGCTCCAGTCCCACTCCACTGTCACGTTTCCTGCTTGCAGACTTCTAGGCTCAGTTGCTCACACACAGGAACATGTGGTTTTAAATGTGATCCAGACCTCTACGGAGGACAAGGAGTGAAGGAGGGGGAAGAGGAGGAGGGGAAGGGAGAAGAGAGAGAGTGCGAGGAGAAGAGAGTCTATCCAGCCAATATCCCACTTAAATGCAGCAAAGTGGCGGGATGAAAAAGGAGGCG